AAAATGATCCTCTATGATTAACCAACATTTTAAGTTACTATTTTTCTAAGCTTGCTACTTAACCTCTGAACCCTTGTTTAATCTTGATTACGGAATTTTGTCTTGTTTGTCAGCATCATAAATTATAGCTCTAAAGTTTTCTTGGGTTAGATTTTCAAGTGCATGTGGAAACTCAATCTCTCTCTCCTTCCCCCTTTGTTTTGAATTAATTTAACATAAATTAATAAATATTTTTCTGCCTGGCTTGTGCCTTAAATGCAGTGTGCAGAATTTTCTTCCATATATGTGATCTGTGGGATACTTAACCTCTCAGTGACCCAGGCAACTTTCTAAGCACTGATCTTTACTGGGAGAGGGAGTTTCCTCACTCGGAGTTCCCTTTACTAATGAAATCCCAAGTCTGCTAAAAAATGAGAAAATTGTTTTGCTGGTAGGTAAACAATATTTCTAATTTTCACTGGATATGATAACCTAAACATTTTGGTCATCAGCTATATGTATACTCTGGGAACTTGTTTACTAGTTTTATCTGCAGCTCACATACCAGAGTGCTTTCACACCAAAACCTCCATATCCAACACTTTCTTTCATTACATGTGAATTAATGGGAGACAATAGTAAGATTCATAGGGATTCATGACCTAAATATAAAAGAAGATGCCATTTATAATGATGAATTGGGGACAGAAACATTCCCAAACAAGGTTGTAATGAAGGGAGTGATTATAAAAAATGAAATAGAAAATTTCAGTTACATAAAATTAAAAAGCTTTTGCACAGACAAAATCAATTCAACTAGATCAAGAAGAGAAATGTTCAAATGAGAAAAACATCTTTGCATAAAATTGATACAAATACATAAGACCAAGAGCCATTTCCCTGGAAATAAGTGGTTAAAAGATATGAACAAGATTTTAAAAATAGTTGCAAACTATTGATAATGAAAATTGTTCTTGATTACTACTAATAGTAGTATTGTAGATTAAAACAACTGTAAAGCTGTCCTCAGAGTAGTAAAGATAATAAAAGAAGGAGATAATTAATGTTATGAGGATAGTAACATTAATAAACTGTTGGAATTGTGAATTAGTCCAATCTTTCTGCAAATGATTTGGAATTGTGGAAGGAAAAGTCATTCAACTGTTCTTACACTGTGACTCACCTATCCTACAGTTTACTGGGCATTGACCTTGAGGAGGTCAAAGATAGAAACAAAAGGCTTATGTATTCCAAAATATTCATAGTAGCAGATTTTGATAGCAAAAATCTGGTAACAAAGTAGGTGTTCATCAATTGGGGGATGAACAAGTTGTGGTATATAACTGAAATGGATGCAGAGTGCAGAAAGCAGAAACTGAAAAATATGTATAAGGACTACAATAATGCAGATGAAAACTGCACTAAAAGACAGTCAAACTGGGTTGAACTATGATGCCCAGTTTTCATCCTGGAGAACCGATGATGAAGTACCTTTCCTTCTTCTTGGTAGAGAGAGGTCATGTGATCCTAGCTTTAGAACTGGAAAGGATCTTAGAAGACACCTAGTCTAACCCCCTTATTTTTACAGATAGGGGAACCGAGGACTAATATCAAAGGTAGTATCTTTGACTCCAAATACAGAGCTTTTTCCTTGGTACAGATGAGGAACTGTCAGATACAGTTTCTATGTATGTAGGTGGGGTTTGTTTAAACATTTTTCTTTGTTACAAAGGAGTATAATGGGTATTGCTTAAAAGGAAATGGCTAGAGTGTGCTCTAAAGAGAAATATGTAAGGTAAGGTTTGGGGGCCCAAGGGAGGTGCTGCAGTAGTATAGCAAGTACTAGAATTATAGCAACTCAATGTGCCTAGGATTGGATTCTCTCTAGGACACTGGGGCAAATGCCAAGAAGCCACAGCATGTTAAATCTAGATTTACTCTCATAGCCCAGTACCACTGCCACCTGGCACTCCTAAGAACTTACCAATCTTGCCAGAATATGAGTTAAGGAAAGGATGAGTTGAAAGGGAATGCAATGTGTATATGACAAAAAAAAAATAGGGAAATGGGTGAAATGGTGAAATAAATGGGTGAAAAAATTGTGACATTTGAATCTGGAAATCTAATGATATCTGCATCAAAAATTTCAAAGAATTATGGAGGGAGTGAAACAGAAGATTGGAAGGAAACTACCAACATATGTCAAATATTTGAAAGAAAATAAGACCATAAGTAAGAAGCTGTTTAGTTTCATAAAGAGTATGTGCCAGATAACTTTGATAGTTTTTTAAGGGGTAAGGTTTTAAAAGAAGTAAGCATTTAATGCTTAAGTTTTAACATAGCAGTATCTGGCTATCATTTTTAAACATCACTTGAATTTATTGGAGATATGCACATACGGTCAATCCTCAACTTTTGCAGAGATGAAGTTCCTAGAAAGTGGCATGCAAGTAAAAAATGGGAATGTTGATACATTGAACCTTTGGGAAATAGGGGGTTAGGTTGCTGGGACCTAAAACCAAAAACTGGAATCTTTCACTAGAGATTGCTGAATAAACACTTTTCTGATACAGTTCTTCATAACAACATATTAATTCTGATAATATGCACTTTTCCTAACACAGTAACCATGAAATAACTCATAAAATCCAGGGAAGAGTAGAGGTGACACTGCACAAGAAGGGAAGGGACCGGGGCAGAGACGTCAGAAAAAGCCCAGGTTAAAAAGGTAAGAGGGTAACCTGACATCTCTAATCTTCCTTTCTGTTCTGTGGTTGAACTGTTCCCCCATGAAAAGCACATGCCTTGGCGTGAGTCCGTGGCCCTGGTTTAGTTCAGAACTCCCTCCTGGTGTGACTCTTCATGAGCTGGATGCAGTGATGGGGGCAGCCCCCTCTCCTTCCCCAACTCCACAGCCTCCCTGGCTGGGATGCTCAGGAGTGAGCCCAGCTGCGGGGGATGGGAGAGGCGAGATACAGCACCATCTCATTTACCCACAATTTTGCTGCTTTTCCATTTTTTTTCAATCCCCTTATTGTGTACTGGAGAGGTTACTTTAGCACTTTCTGGAGCAGATTCATGAGCACTTTTATGAAGACTTTCCTCCTTTTTGCGGATACTAACTTGCGTATCACGCCTTTCATTTTTTTCTCTACTGAGCATAGCAGCAAATACGCTCAGTTGCCAACATGAAAGTGAAAATGAGGTTACTAATAAAATCACACAAATTCTTGAAGCCGCAAAAGTGAAATGCTTGAATGTCAAGGATTGACTATATGTAGGTGTGCATGTGAATATCTATATCTATATATCTGTAGATAGCTGTTTACATATATATGTAGAGAGAGCACAAGAGAAGTGTAGAGGTATAAACACACATAATGCACACATGTAAGTATGTCTGTGTATAGACATATACATATACATGGAGGGGTATAGGTATATACCTGCAGAAATACATTGTTGTTAAGTTGCTTCAGTTGTGTCTGACTTTCTGTGATTCCATTTTGGGGTTTTCTTGGCAAAAATACTGGAGTGGTTTGCCATTTACTTCTCTGACTCATAGTACAGATGAGGAAACTGAAGCAAACAGAGTTAAGTGACTTGCCCAGGATCACATAGCTAGTAAGTGTCTGAGGCCAGATTTGAACTCAAGAAGATGAGGTTTCCTGACTTCAGGCCCTGCACTCTGTCCACTGCCACCTAGCTGCCTACAGAAAAATATGTGTGTATATCTCTGTCTCTGTGTTTGATTTAGACTTGTGATTGCAGTCAGTGAAGGTAATTTCTACTTCTACTTCTACCAGTAACTTCTAGCCTTAACAATTTGCCTGGGGCTGGTATGTATCAGAGGCAGAATACAGGGTTAGTCATTATATGGACTGAAAAGCAAATGATTGATTGAAAATAAAATAATAATGTTAAAGATGATGATGATATTTTATACTGTACCTTTATGTGCCAAGCACTTCACAAATATTATTTAATCCTCATAACCTAGGAGGTAGATAGTGTTATTATCCTCATTTTACAGTTGAGGAGCATGAGGTAGATAAAGGTTAAGTGACTTACCCAAGGTTACACAGCTACTAAGTGTCTAAGGCTGGCTTTGAACTTAAGGCTTCCTGACTCCAGGCCCAGCGTCCTATCCTCCACAACACCTAGCTGCTATCCATTCATGGGAAGGGGGGTGCCTATCTATTTTAGACCCCAAATTTGTCTCTCTGGAGTAAGAGAGAGATTCACTAGAATATCAATCTGCTGTCTGTCTTGGTTTTTCTCTAATGAGGAGTCCAAAACATTAGGTGGTGCTAAGTCTGGAGAAACTTAGAACCCTGGGAAAAAGTTATACTCACTGGAGAGTGAACAGAATTGTATTATTTATAAGTTATTATGAGTTCTTTCTGTGTTTTCTGCACTTGTTTATGGGCTTCTTTGAGTTCTTTGCATTTTCTTTGTGAGGGTGGAAGGTGGGAGGCCATATTGTACCCAATAAATATATTGTTACCTTTAGGGCTTGTATATGATCTGAGATGGGATAGGGAAAGGAAATCCTTTTGGTCACATCTAGGGGGCCCCACATTCGAACTATACACAAGCAGATTGAGATTCCCCAGAGTAACTCCAGTTGAAGGCATAACAAGTCAAATATTTAGTGATTTTTTTTAGATCACCCCCATCAAATGGACGTAATAGTAGTAGTGGTAGTGGGCAGGTAGGTGGTACAGTGGATACAGCCCCAGGGCTTGGAGTCAGGAGGACCTGAATTTAAATCTAGTTTCAGACACTTACTAGCTGTGTGACCTTGGGCAAGTCGCTTAACCCTGTTTGCCTCATTTTCCTTAACTGTAAAATGAGTTGGAGAAGGAAATGGCAAACTGCTCCTATATCTTGGCCAAAAAAACCCTCCAAAATGGGTTCTTGAAGAGTCAGATGTGACTGAAATGATTGAACAACAACAACGAAGTAGTGGTAGTAGTCATAGTAATAATAAACAGAATGAACCAGACTTTGTATGGGCTCCAATTTTTTTTTATTTATCAGGTAAACTTCCAGTCCTTTTCAACACCTTCAATACTCTGAAAACAAATCCAACTAGTTGTATTGGTGCCTTGGCAAATGTGGGAAGAACAAATAGAATTTATCTTCTACTAAATATGCTGCTATTTATCACACATGAAGTTGAATGCAATGAACCATCATAATTGCTGGCCACATTTCTTTCAGGATGTGTCCTAGCAATTCAATTCTTTCTTTGAATGGTAGTTTCTTTCTGTGAATAGCTCTCCTAGTAGGGACTTTTGTATCTATCTCTTTTAGAAGAAAAAGGGAACAAAGATTACTTTGCGGTGACACTGAAGATTTAAAAAAAAAAATTTAAAAGCCACTTTATCTAATCTTATTCCTCAGTAATTAAAATTGTCTCTTTAAAATCTGCATGATCCTATGCCATGGAGATGACATTGCCATATTGTAAATACATATGTTTGCGTGTTTCATCCAACTTAGATGCATTCACAAAAGGAGAGAAGCTGCAACATTTGCATAAAAAGCAGGTCTGTATTCAATTTTTTTTTTCTGTTACTTGAATCTCTCCTCCATGAATCACTGTACTTTTTGTGATGATAGAGGTGACTTCTGCATAAGCTCACACAACCTAAGGTAACAGCTATGTGCAATTCCTGGGTTATTTATGAACATGTAATCAGTTAAAGATGGCTTTGGCCTGATTTGTCCTTAGCTACATTTAAAATTAAGAACCTTGAGGCCCTCTACATTAATAAATTCTCTAAGTTTCCCACACTTACCCACATAAGCGGTATGTCGATGCCCTGAAAAATCTTGAATTAAACAAATGGTCACTTTTGGGGGCCATTCTCATGACTGAGTGGGTTTGACTGTCCAGCCAAGCCAATGGTTGTGCTAGAATCTAGCTAGAATCCTTTTCATGAGGGGATTTGTTCTGTGAAGTTTGGATTCAGTCAAACGACCACACTTGAGGACCTAGAGGGCCACATGTGGCCTCGAGGCCACAGGTTCCCCACCCCTGTGCTAGATTATGAAGATCCCTTTCAGATTTAAGTCTTATAAATCTTTAAATGAACAGGAACTGGCCATGAAGAGGACTGTAAAAATATCCATTGAACAAGAAATGGCCATTTGGGTTGCCATGTGTACACACATGACCTTGACAATGAGGCACCTGATGGCAGTGAGTAGTGGTAGTCCTTTATTTATGCTGTGGGTGCTTTTATTTAAATAGAAAATTCTGACACTTCAAGAGCCAGCTATCTTTTTGGTGCAGTTTAATTTCTTTCATGTGCAAGACCTGTATTCATTTACATGGCAGGTCTCAGGAACAGGGTCTTGGATTCCAGCTACAGCTGGTCTGGCCATCACAGCCTAGACTTACCTATCATTACAGCCTGCACTTGTAGAAATATCAACTTTAGACCTCATCTTGCAATTCTGATTCACAGTACTAGATAGCATACGACAACAGTAAAAATGGAGGTAACATTCACTTAGCGATTCGAATGAGAATACATACACAGTTTTTGCATTTCAGTTTCTAACACTTTCAACTTAGTGTGAATCACCATACACCTGATATCTTGTAGCCTTTACAGAATTCTGCATTAAGGTGTGAAGAGCATGAAACTGAACACATGAGCACACTTCAATCAAGTTGGTTGCTGCAAGTCATGACAGTATGATATGCTTACAGTCTATTCTCCATGTGCTTAATTCCCATTGGTGGGAATCATAGATATGAAAGAGGAGTCCAACTTTTTGATTTGTGTTGGGATATGCCTGAAACTGATCATTATCTTCACAAAGAATGATAAAAATAGGGAGCATTTGATCTGGGATACATAAGTAGGGGAAAAAACTCCAAGAGATTGAATATATTGAGAATTTGATGCATGGTTCACACAGTCATTCCTATCTTGCTCTATGAGAAAATAATTTCTTCCCAATCCAGGCCAAATATAATTTTGATTCATAAAATCAAATTAAATTGACTATTTGGAGTCTTTCTTCAAAGTTTTAGAAATTTCACAAGGGACGTTCAAACTGAAGCTGTTTTTAAAAATTATTTGGTTCATGGAAAATATTCTTTCAAATACTGGGGAAAAAACAGGATAATTCTGAATAGCAAAAAAGCACATATTTCACTGGAAGTTTGGTTGTCCCATTGGTCAAATGGTTTTTCAGAAAAGATGAAGTCCAGAAGCACACAGCCCGATGTCACATAGATGAGGGGAATTTCAGGTGAGCATGTGAGTGTCCAATGCCATGGAATTAATGAATCCCTCTACTAAGAGACAGATCTAGATCTGCCAGGCAGCTTTGGGGTGTGAAACCCTGTATTACTTCTAGATGCTTAAAGCTGTTTGTGTTAGCATTATGTTCAGAGATGAAAAGCGCTGCTAATTAAAAGGGAAATTGAAACTAAGGGATGAGGGGCAGTCTAAGAGCTCAAAGAGTCACCTCTTCCAGGATGCCCTGAAAGAGTCACCACAGCATGCAACTAACCCCCCTCCAGCACAAAAGTGTTCTCTTTCATTTTGCTTCAGGAGGAAAGGTTGGAGAAAGTAGACCTCTGAGAGGAGATGCTACAGACTTCCAAGTTGGTGAATGAACTCCCAGCATCACTAGGGTACTCAGGGTAGGATGAACTGGATGAGATGATGTTTTTAAGCCTCTGCAGAGCAATGATCAAGAGCAAGAGCAGAAATGCCAAGAGGCTGAGAAATATTGAAACATAGATGTAGACGTTGGACAAATGGCCAGAAGACGAATCCACAGAGGTGGACAGGGAGGTGGGAAAGAGCTCCAGGAAAGTTCCATTCTCTGCGCTGCCCACAAATCCAGATGAAGGGTCAGGGTCTGACATCTTTGGGGTGTGAGAGACAGAACGAGTGTTGGAGATCGAAGTGACAATCAGACAGGGCTTAAATTGGACAGATTCTATAGTTTTTCATTTTTCTATGGAAATGCTGGCAGAGGTTGTTTTATCCAAGCAGACGGTCTTGCTTTCCAGACAAGTACAACTGAGGATCAGGTGTCCACTGGAACTGTAAGAAAACAGAAAGAATTGAGTACACTGCTCAGAAAACATCTGAGGCAATTCTGAATTTTTGCTTTCTTTATTTTTTTTTTGTGTGTGTGTACCTATATGAAACATGCTTATTAAACCTAGTGGGAGAAAAACCAAAACTCTTCCCTAGGAGCAAGTATGGTTTACCACATTATGAACAACGACATGACAATGAACTTTTATTTTCTCTCCACAGTACACTAGGTGCTAGGTTTCTCCAAGTTGCTAAAGATAAAATTAAAATACATTTCTTATGTGTTCCATCTGTTGCAATTTCAACACATGCTGCAGTATGAAGCTCTGTGCACAGGCCCCCAAAGATTCAGATCAAGGTCTACCTCCTCCAGGAAATTCAAATTTCACCAGTTCTGAAACCCATCAACCCACCCCCAGACCAGCTCTCCCCTATCTGCAAACTCTGGGAATAATTGCATTTGTAGTTTCTACATAGTTGTCTGTCTTGTTTCTCCTATTAAACTGTAGTCTCCTTGAGGATAAAAACAAAGTCAAAATGTTTCTATGCTTTAATATGTAACCCAAGCCTGTTAATTGTTTCTAGAAAAAAGAAAGCATAGATTTTCTTTGTCCTATATTGGTTCCTTTAAACGTAAGGTATTCAAATCACTCAGAGTTTCCCACCATTTCCGTGAATCAGCTTGTCGATTGTCAACTTACACTAAGCAAAACGTATACATCTTGCATCTTGTCTTTAATTCTATTCTCCATCTTTCTCTTCTTTCCCCTCTATACTTTATTTTTTTAAATTTTTTTTTTTGTTTGGGCAATGGGGGTTAAGTGACTTGCTCACGGTCACACAGCTAGTAAGTGTTATGTGTCTGAGGCCGGATTTGAACTCAGGTCCTCCTGAATCCAGGGCTGGTGCTCTATCCAGTGCGCCACCTAGCTTCTCCCCCTCTATACTTTAAAGAAAAAAAGGTTGATATTGGTGGATAGGTTTGAGCTAAAGTGTGGTAGAAATCAATGAACTCAATCTTTCTACGAGAGAGAGATGGTATGCAGAATTTCTTTTTTTTAAAATATAAATTTATTTTTAATTTTCAATATTTACTTCCACGAGATTTTGAGTTCCAAATTTTCACCCCATCTCACCCCTCCCCCCACCCCAAGATGGCATGCATTCTGAATATCCCTTCCCTTAGTCTGTCCTCTCTTCTATCTCCTCTCCCCCGCCACCATGCAGAATTCCTTCTTATCTTGACCTCGCCTAGGGTAAGACAGAGATGTTATAAAGTAAGAGCTGGAAGAGACCTTAGAGGCCATTGAGTCAAACTTCATTTTACAAGTGAGGAAAATGAGTCTGGGTGATACAAAGTGACTTGCCCAGGGTCACATGGATAGTAAATTTCTGAGACAAGATTTGAAGCCAGGTCTTTCTGACTCCAAGTCCAGTGCTCTTTCCAGAATGCAATAGAGTAGAGCTGGCTATTATGATAGCTCCTGCTCTGGGCAGGGCCTCCGGAATTCCTTAAAAGAGGGTACAAGAAGCTTTCTTTTTAGGGCAATGGCTCATTTAGGCCACTGGAGACTAGAGGGTGAAGCTTAATATGCAAAGTGATACCTCTAGAAAAGATGAGTAGAATACTCTGTTTTTCATGTCCATAGAAGATTTCAATGGGCTGAAGGAAGTCCAAAGGAGAGGACATGCTAACATGGTGAGATGATTTGAAACTATGCCATAGGAGAATCGACTGAAAGAAGTGAGAATATTTGGTCTGGAGAAAAGAAGGCAACCTAACAGGTCACCCAGAAATATTAATCTATTGGACATCTACATAGCTACTAAGTTGGAGAGTCAAATGTATTTTTGCAATTAAGAAATAGGTAGGTTTGGAGTATGTTGAGAGAAAAGAAAAAGAGGTATAAAGAAATTATAATGAATTAAAAACAGAGAAGAGTAGAATGCAGGAAAGCAGTACATCTTTAATTGATTTCTTCTTCCTAGAAGAATATGGTTACATTAGATGGAAACTTGGGTATCATCCTATAGAGTACAGTAATGGAAATTCAATGAAGAGTACATATGTGATGATAAAGAATTTGGGGCAATGAGCAGAGCAGACCACATGTTGGTGTTGGTCGAAGGTAATACATGCATGAGAATCAGTAAAGCACTTTGGGTAAAGGAAATCTGGAAGGTGGGACATGGGGAGAAGCTTCAAGTATTTGGAGGACTGTCATGTGGAAAAGAGACTGAATTTGTTCTGTTTGACTCCGGAGAGCAGAACTAGGAGAAACTGGTAGCAGTTGCAGAATTTTTGGGTTGATATAAGGAAAATCTTCCTAACAATTATAATAGACCAAATGTGGAGTGGGCTTCTTTGAACGCAAGTCTCCACGTGGAAGCCGAAGGATAACTGGGGATGTTGGAAAAAGAGATTCCTGCTTAGCTATGGGTAGAGCTAGACAAGCTCTGAGGTCTCTTCCAATTGGAGAGTCTGTGATCCAGGAGGGTATGATCCCTGGTACGAAGGGAAAAATGGAGCTCATTAGAGAATTATATAATTTCAAAATAATTGTCTAAATCTCATCCCCCAAGGGCACAATGCTAGTGGCAAAACAGCTCCTATGGCACCACTTATTTTTTCTCTGTCCTTCATTTTACCTTTAAAACTTGCATTTCCTCTCTATTCTCCAAATATAATTAAATATGTGATTCTTCAAGAGTCTGACATTCCCTGGTTATGGCCAGAGCACGGCTATACTAATGATTCCCAGAAAGGAACAGCCTCTGAGGGGACTGTCCTTATTAGAGCAGGCTAATGAGTCTTAGCAAGTTCCTCTGGGTAGGCCAGTGACAACATCTTGGTAGTACCTAAAATAATTTGCCTCCTACAGCTCATTATGCTTTGCCTGGTGACTTTAATTCCATTTTACTGCCCAGGGTCTTAACAGTCCTAAAGAAAGGAAGAATTATAATTGAATATTGAGTGTAACACTAACTTTTTTGTTGTATGACCAGGATGTTTTACATGAGTGTAGTAGCCCAGAGCCCTAGTCTAGCTCAAGTAGCACTGGGAGGAAACTTAGAGATCATTTTGCCCAACCTCCTCACTTTACAGATGTGAAAAATGGGTCCCAGTGAAATTAAATTACTTGCTCAAGGTCACACAGGTAGCAGGATGCAGAGCTGGGAGCCAAATCCTGTCTGCTGACCCTAAATCCAGTGCTCTCCCATTATGGCCTGATCTCCTAGAGATAGTATGGCATGCACACACCACACGGTCAGAAGATCTAGTTTTGAGTCCTGGCTCTACTATTCATTACCTGTGTGACTATGGGCAAATTGCTTAACCTTTAAGAGCCTCAGTTACCTTATCTGTAAAGCAGGTATGATCCAGTTTCTCTCATAGAGTTGTTTTGCTGAAAGCAAATTGTAAATCTTAAAGAGTTACATAAACAACAAATACTATATTACATTATTTAATACTATATTATATATAATTATCTTATGCTATATACTGTTATAGTATACTATATATGTTGTTGTTCAGTCTGTTCAGCTCTTCATGACTCCATTTTGGAGTTTCCTTGCCAGAGATACTGGAGTAGTTGCCATTTCCTTCTCTAGCTCATTTTACAGACGAGAAAATTGAGGCAAATAAGGTTAAGTGACTTGCTTAAGGTCATACAGCTAGTGAATATCTGAGACCGCATTTGAACTCAGGTCTTCCTGACTCTAGCACTCTATCTACAGAGTTACCTAGTTGCCATACTATTACATAGTATATATACTCTATACATACATATAAATGTACTACACAGACACACACATATGCAAGATGTGCAAATTTAGGGAATCCACCCCAAATATTCACATGGACTATTTATGCCCAACCTGTGGTAGAGCCTTCTGAGCTCACACTGGTCTGATCAGCTACAGTTGGATACCCTGTAACTTGACTCTAATATAGCGATGTCATTTTGGGCCCCTTCAAGAACACAGGACACCAACCAATTTTGCATACAGTATATATAGTTTAGTACATAAATTATATATTCTGTTATATATAATACTATAAAATACACTATGCTATATTATATATCTTATACTATACTATATCCTATAGTACCTAATATAGTATATATATTGAATATATACTATGCTTTATTATCTTATATATACTCTGTTACACTATGCTTATACTATATTATATCATAATGTGATAATGGAAAATGCTTTGTAAACTTGAAAGTGTAATGTAAAGTACAGTGTAAATAAATAATATATAATAAAACTCATAAAGTTTAAAATACAATATAAATAATAAATATCAATAAATGATAAATACAATAAATATCAGTTATTTTAACTAATGATCTGTATCATTAACTAGTGGGGAAACTGAGGCTCAGAGGAGAACTGTCATGCTATAAAGCAGCTGAGCTGCAGAGAACAAAAGAATCCTTATTATTTCTAGGTTCTGAGAAAACTGACCAATACTAAGTGTTTTTCTGCTTAACCTTCAAAGGTTTCTGAGAGTAGCACATTGTGAGTTAATGTCACCTATTGAAATAATATATAGGAAGCCCATAGTAAAGGAAGATTTCTGTAAAATGTCTCTTCTACCAGATAACCTTAATATGATGATACAGAATGAACAAAGAAATATTGTGTCCCGATTTTCCATTCTTCTCCTTAAATTACTTTAGAGAAAAAGGTTTGAGATTTAATATAATTTTCAAATCAACTACTTAAATTTAAAATGGCAGCAATATCAACTTCATTTCAACCCTCTAATCTAGAAGAAAGGGGTACATGTATTGTTAAGCAGATATTTAATTTGGTAGAATTCAAAAACATTTTTTTCCATTTTCTTGCTCAAGATGAAAATTGCATGCCGCTTCATTTTATTGTTTAAGTATTTTATTCTGTAGTGTAT